CATTTTCCAATAGGTTTCATGGGGTTTTCTCTCCAGCTAATCTAGCTCAATTTTGGGGGTGGGGCAGTTGAGGGCGTCTGGCGGATACACCCACCACTGAATTATTCTGGCAGTGTCCATTCCTGATACCTGGGACCATGGTAACATTTTCCAATAGGTTTCATGGGGTTTCCTCTCCAGCTAATCTAGCTCAATTTTGGGGGTGGGGGCAGTTGGGGGCGTCTGGCGGATACACCCGCCACTAAAAAATTCTGGCAGTGTCTATTCCTGATACCTGGGACCATGCCGAACATTTTCCGATAGGTTTCATGGCGTTTCCTCTCCAGCTAATCTAGCTCAATTTTGGGGTGCCTTTCAAATGACCCCACTGACCACACCCACCAGCGGCTGCCCGCCAGACTTACATTTCCTTACATAGGTATGTAAACGAATTATTGCTATATGCATGAAAATTGGTTTCCTTTCCAGCTAGGCTGACCCCCCTGTGCTCCCGGTCTAATCGGACGAAATCGGTGGAGATTGAGTGGACACACTAGGCGATTTCACGGCGATTTTGTCGCCCGATTTAATCGCCTAGTGTGTCCGGCCCTTTGCGTACTTTTATTTAGGGCGCACTGCACGACCGAAACGGCGCTCGCGCATGCGCAATATCTCCCGAGAAGAATATTTTGCAAAAATTATAAATTTAAAATGAAGAGGGGTTATTCTTTCATAGATTTATATGAGAAAATTTTATCAGTAGACCTCACTTCAGAAATAGGAAGCAGACCTTGCATGTACGGTCCCCACTGCATATACCAGTCAGACTGAGTCAGTAGGGCCTACATAACCTGGCTACGTTACAGTTTTAGCGCATGCGCAATATCTCACCAGAAGAGCTATATTTTGTGATGAAAATGCATTTAGTATGGTCATGGGGTATCTCAACAAAGGTTTCTGTAATAAATTCATATCCGTAGACCTGTGTTTATAATTAGGAGAGCGTCCTAGCCTGTAGGGTGCAAAACTCCTACTTCATTCCCACCCGCCCTTTCCCTCGTCTTCCTTGTCGCACGCTCAGCCTCCTTCTTCTTCCACCGCCCCTCGGCTGTCTTTCCTGCCACCCTCCGTCAGTCTCCGACCCCTCTCTCCCTCAGCAAGCTGTATTACGTACTTTTATTTAGGCCGTACTGCACGCCTGAAACGGTGCTCGCGCATGCGCAATATTTCCAGAGAAGAATAATATTTTGCAAAAGTTATGAATTTAAAATGAACAGGGGTTATCCTATCATAGATTTATATGAGAAAATTGTATCCGTAGACCTCATTTCAAAAATCGGAAGCAGGCCTTGCATGTAAGGTCCCCACTGCAAGGAGCCATAAAAATCTACGATGTTCCTCCTTAGGGACTTGGCTATTTATATCTACCCAACCAAAGACACTGCACCTCATTCCTGGACTTGGTTGGTGTTATTCGACCATGAAAAGTAACAAAATAGAAAAGACCAGCATGTTTTAAACACGGATATTTCACGGCTTTTTACGCTACAATTTAAAAAGCACACAGTCTTTACACTATACTTTACCACAACTGTGAGTATAACGCATGTAGCCTATATGACTATTCTAACCATTTTCTGGTGTGCAGATATTTTCATGTCAATCACATGTATTACTGTGCTTGAATCAAACAGACAGACACACACACAGACACACACACAAATATATATCTATGTTAAAACAGCGCATCCTGGCAGTAACTGCTGCATGCCTTAAACGTGTAAGCAGTTAACGATTATCTTAACTCGGGACGGATTTTATTGAAAGTTATCCACGTAATGTTTCCTCGAGAATACACATAAACACAATATTTCTATATAAGTACATAAGTACACATGCATTCCAGATAATACTACAAATTAAAATGCTCCTTTGCACTCATGAATAAGAGTGATCATGATCATCATATAACCTTTAAAAAGGAATAGCATAAAACGGTACAATATGAAATGTGGTTATCTGGGAATACTGATTTTTTTTAGTACAAGCAGTTTCAAAATACGATAATAAATTATGATACAATTATCGCCCATATATATATATATTTTGGTACATCGTGACAAAATCCCCGTTATGACAAAATCATTATGTGTATACGATTATCTATTAAATCCATATGTCACATAGCATTACGGACTTGTAATGCAAATTAACAATAAAATACATTTAATATGGTAATAATATAGAACTTAATAAATAGTATTATTGACTAGAACCAAGACTGGCAAAGTAATATTGGATGAAAATGTAATAAACCATTACGACAATGAAAGCCTAATTTTACTATGCATAGTACATGTTAAACTATGTATTTATGATATATATGAGAAATTAAAATTAATAAACAATACTCGTGTTGAAACTCAGATGAAATATGTTGAAAACGCGAAAAGACTTTGTAGAGATACAATTTCAAAATGTATATGAAAGTAAATATCGCACAAAACTTGTTCTATGGTTTTGCAACCAATGAAACATTTACCATGCATACACATTTAGCAATTCTTTAAGCAAGTGATGATTTTTAACCAAATCACATAACATGTAAAAAATTAGAAATAAACATATGTAATGAAAGGAATAGTTGATAATAGTTGAACTATAATAGTGATAAGTAAAATACAATTAATACTTAATTTGGCAGATTTGTAAACGACCGTTCAGTATCCTTTTAGAGCGGAGATCACGTACATACCAAAACTGACTGTGGATTAATTTAACCTTTCAGAACCTCTAGTTTGTATGTGCTGTATCGACAGCAACAGCAGTATCCATGTTTGATCACAATAGAAACTCTCGTGTTGATTAAAGAGCAATACGACATGAATAAACTTTAAAAGTAGACGTCATTTCATGTGCAACCCTGTCCCAACAACTGTACTCAAGTTAATTACATGAATACTAGAGTACTAATATACATTTGAGGAATACAAAAGGACTGCACGTCACGCTCACAATCAATCGCTCAAAGACAAAACCAGAGAAATAAATCTGTAAACTATAAAAAAGTAACCACCATACTCCTAAATTGGTTACGATCCCTGAAAGCATTACAAGTATATGAATAATCCAGTAACGCAACAATACGGCTGGCTGCACAGATTCAGTTGAAACAACTGAACACAGTTGGTAAGGTATAACATTTTCCGAACCGACCAACGTCGTTGCGCATCACAAACAACTGGCAGTACAACATTTATGTCAGGCAGTGACTTAACAGTTTGTTTACATGCACACAAACGCATGCGTACATTCAAAATGATGTTATAACCACAAGGGAGATACAGTCTCACTGTGGTCAGCAGACAAAGCTGGGACATACTGTTGTCCACATAACGACAGTACACAGCGAAAGTGGCAAGCACAGTTTACAGGTGGGTATCTGCGATCGGTATCCGCCTCGCTCCACCGTACATGTCAGAACGTGTGTCCGGCTTCACATGTGTCTCCATTCTGTTCTTCTTCAACGTATCAGCCCTCTCCGGCAAAAACTGACCACCGGTCTTCAGCGCAAAAATGAGGTCATCAAAGTCCGAGGTCTCGTTCTCCTCTGCATTCATATTTGGTGGGAGAATAAATACGTTGTTTGGGGGCGCCGGAGTGCGCTTGACCTGCATTGTACTTTTTGGTGTCGTCTGCTGCATGACACTTTCCCATGGTACCTGTAAAATTCTATAGCTTGTATCTTATTCTTAACATTAATTCTCTTGAGAGTAGAGCAATGAGGAATACTGCTTAGTATTTAATATCTACGAATAGTTTTTCAACAGTTATACTATGTCTGAGCCCTACACAAGAGGTGATAGGCACCCAATTATTACAATCATTCACAAAATCAGGATCTATGCAGTATAGCTGTAGAACAAGGACATCGAGGAACAGAAAGTGTAATACGAGCTTCTTACCTCATGCACTGGTGGTGGTTTAACACTAGCAGAGATGGTTGGTGGGTGCGATGCCACACCATAGCTACCTTCTTTTACTGGTCTGAAGCATGGTAGGCATGGGTGCCGCAGTGCTGCATACACGACCAGTGCATACACACCCTGTTAATTCAAAGTGATGGGCCTTGTTAGTAACATACTATTCAGGTCCCCATGTATGTTGTCAGGTCAACTGGAGAGAACCACAGCATAGAAATCCCCAAAACGATTAGGGAGCGAACATTGGAGTACAATGCCATTAGGATCAAGTTCATATTATTACAATAATTATTATAATCTCATATATGCTTTAATTTTACTGTAACAAAGATTATTACTAGTAAAATATTTGTTTGTAATTATAAATAAACAAATATGTCTGAATACGTGTGCGTGTGTGTGCGTGTGCGTGTGCGTGTGCGTGTGCGTGTGCGTGTGCGTGTGTGTGTGCGTGTGCATACATTCCAGCATACGTGTATGTGGCTGTGCATGTGTGTGTATGTGGCTGTGTGATTCTGTAAATTTATGACACGATAAAATGTAGAACTCACCATAACTATGTTGAAAATACAGAAGAGGACAAGCAGCCAAAGGTATCCATAGGCTAAATGCAGAGACCCCCAGATCCACGTCACCACAATCAGGCCCCAGAATATCAGCATGGCGCGTACCTCTGCAAAAGCAATGATTGCAACTGTCAGGATAAACACGTACTTTAGTAAGCCCAATAGAACGATGTCTAGATATGTAATTTCTTGGAAAACATTAACATAACAAAACCTCTATACCTTACAACAAAAACAATAATTATGATAAAATTGCCTTATGTGTGATATATATTATGTATTTCACCAAGAAGAAATAACTGCTCATAACTGTGATCATTAACGGTCACACCGTTTGTGCGCTCTTGATCATATATATATATATTATATATATAAATTTATGATATATAAATTTTGATAAATATAAATGCCAAAATAATCACTTAGAGCTATTATCCTCGCGAGTGTTTTAACAACACATTTCCTAGACAAAAGTGCCAAAACGTTCTGCATTAGTTACCGTGATAGTTGTAGCGGCCTCTGTAGATATCATCGTAGCTGTGCCACTGAGGCAACACCTGATAGGCTTGCACAAACACGGCAACAACGTATACAAGGAGCAGCAGCCACGGTGCTATCACACTAGCCAGAGCCGAGTACACATTCATTATGAAGCATCTGTAACAACAAGCACCCGAATATGATTACGAAATTTACGAGTTACTAACACCTAATATACATAACCAACAATAGTTCCCACACTCAATATGCCTTTGATGTTAGTGTCGGGCTTTTGTAGGTAAAAACGTAGGCATCAGTTAGATTACATATAATAACATGCATACTAAATACGCACTCAACCAATCCTGTAAACAACAAAACGGTTGCAAATAGGTCAGCATGGCGTTTTCTCTTATATAACAAAGTAGGGAATTTCACAGTTGCTATGATAACTTATCAACACTCATGAAGTAATATGAACATATGTACGTAATAACTTCTATTTTTGTTGTTTCTTCGATTCACAGTTAGAAATTCCGATATGGTTTGTCAGTGTCACCAACATACATATTATGATTTTGGTGTACGTCGCCATATATGTAGGTTGGGTCCATGGAGAACACGTATCGATACAGGTTGAAGGCTACTGCGTAGAAGATCGCGACAATGACAGCAGGTGTTCCCCATCCAATCAGGAAGAACAGCACGTACTTGCGTTCAGTGTGTTCGTCGTTCATCACAAGTGTTTTCCATAAGTTGAAAGCCTAAAGTAATATATGTAACAGTTCGTACGTGGTACACATTATACACTCATGCAGCAGTATAGATGCATATTGCGTATATTTACACATTAGTTATTAACAGTTAACTCTCGAAACACAGATTTTAGTGATTCTGTTTACACTTTAAGCTACTTCTCAACTGCAGATAAATTAGCTGAAAATCAGCAATACCTGTGCAACCATCCAGGTGAATTGTGCAACAAAGAAATAGTGAAGAAATATTCCCATAGAGATGCAGGAATTGTTTGCCTTGTCAGCCAAGATGTCCGCAGACATGTAAGCGTTGATCACGTAAACCACCTATCAAGCAAGAAAACGTTGTGTCAATACTATATCATGAGTATACTGTATAAAATCAAAACATTACTGCTACTGCCACTACTCCCCTTCTGCCACCACCACAATCACGAGTGTGAAAAAAAACATGTTGCCTACCTCAGTTGCAAGACAGGCAAAGCACATGTGCATCAGGAGGCTGGCTGTGAATCTTGAATAGATCGAGCAGACATGGTGGGCGAAGATTGCCGAGAATAGGCCAAGCTGTAAGCAAGAAATCCAGTTTAGAAACCGAAAAGCACAATAACAAACACTGTCAACGTCAAAATATACCATATACCAAATAAGACTATATTCAGACTATCGAGGTTAAGGAATTCGTAGTAAATTTCTTCAAAATCGTGAGGACATCATCACACATGGGATAACGCTTCTCACCATGGCAACAAAGCAGGAGACAAAGAACCAGATGTTAAACATGGCTCCATATCGAGGCTGCGGCTCTGCTGCTGGCACTGGCACGCTGGTGGTGGCTTCCCCACTTGGCAGCACACCATAACTGGATAAATGCCTGAGAAAATGTACAGAAGAAGTAGTTATCACCAACATTATTTAACCACACACAGCCTTTACGTAAGGATGATATTAAAGCATGAACGTATCGGCTCACTGCATCTTGAACTTTAACGAGGCCCTCACTTTGATATCGAGTTGATGATTGAGAGTCAAACAAATCAAGTTAATGAATGTTAAATCGCATCACCTATGGATTTCGTTCACCTCAATAGTTTGGCAAGGCATTAATATAAATTCTCCTTACACAGAGTCTATGCTTTCATCAAACGAATATGGTGAGAAAATTCATTCTCATTTTTGAGTTGCAGATGCATTGATATGATGCAGTATTGAAGCATTGTCGTCTCTTACCTGCATGCACACTGAACATGCCGAGAGTTACTTTCAATGACTTCGCATAGCCCTCCGGATTCTGAACCAGTCCACCTTACTGCGCTCTCACTGAAGTACACACACCTGCAAGAATGGAAAAGTTAGATACGTCGGAAAACGATACAAGGTTAACATGTTTGGTTTTGGTTAGAAGCGATTCAAGTGATTGTGAAAAAGTCTGGGGCAAGCAGACTTGAGGAATTGAGCGTAATAATTTCACTTTAAGTGGTTTACTCAGACATGGTTTAATCTTGTATTAAATTTGAAGATCCTACTTTATGCAATACAGCGAGAAAGGCTTTTAAATCTTAAACATAAGTTATATTCAGCAGTAAAAAACAACAACAAACAAATGTATGTGCATGAGATCACATTATTGACAATGAATCTTAACAAAGCTTTACCTGCCATCAAGTCCAGCATTTGTGTATATTGTATACAACACTGGTGATGATACATATCTTGAAGGTTCGTCTCTAATTCCCACTGATAAGATTCTGCTGTCAACGATTGGTTTTACATCCCGCTCTATCGGGAACCACTGCTGACTGCTGTACTCTATAAAGTGTAGGTCCTTGCAGACAGAGGTGTCTGTACTGTACTGATAGTCCTCTGGAAGCCTCAGCGAGTCTCCATTTGTGGCAGTGAATGTATGTCCAGGAATGTTCTGAGACAGCTGCCGGTAGGCAGTTATTCGAGTGTGTGGGCAATCGGTATACACAGACCTGCAAATGATGCACATATGGCTAGCAAACAAATTTCAGAGTCATATGGTAACCGTGTCATAATCAAGATTAGAAGATGTGTCAAATCCCTGTTCTCTATTCAACTATGCTTTTCCATTCCGCTTAGAAAACAAAAGTTTAGTGTTAGTTTTGCAAAGTCTATACTGCTGCAAACCTCACATCCCTAATTCGCCAACATCCTATAGCTAGCATTATGGTCTATAGCTATAGTCAATGACACTATAGCTCACATTGGGTGTGTTAGAAGAGGGAGATGATATTTAAAATTTGGTAAGTGTTTCGGGATATCATTTATGACGGACCAAAATGTGATCAAATGTCCTTATTCCCCGTTTTATACTAATAGAAATTTCTGTTTTGTTTCAGGGTTAGTTTTGATGCAAAAATTAATATTTCAGATCTGAAATTCTAAAATCTGAGCGAGAGATAGCGCTACGCCTAAATGATCGCCATTTTGATTTTCGAATATCGCGCAAATAAAAGCAATAAAATATTCCAGTCAAATTACT